TCCACATTCCCGCACCACTCTGCATGTCGTCCGGTGTGAATATTCGGAGCGAGTGCGATGATAGCCATACAACGATCTGTGCATGATCTGTGCGGTATTCTCCAAGCTCCCAGGCTGTCTGCTGATTCCTCGTGGGGAGGCACGACCGAGCGTCTTCGAAGTATTGCCCTTCCAGCCCGCGTTAATCCTTTGCATAAGACGCTCATTCACTCTGCGTGACGTACAATTTGTATACGAATAGACCCGGGAAGCGGCGGACCGGCACCAATCATCGGGAGCCTTAATGCCTATAGGCTGGTATCGACCATGCCGCATACCAATGATAGGGGGTGGCTACAGAACAGACTTACGACATATTCAAATATAATAAGGTTGGCTACGAATAACTTTAAGAACGGGGTGAGGCCTTTGAGCAGCAGTATCAGACGTCGTGCATACCTGGTGCCACCGAGGGCTAAGGATCAGGCTTACGAAAATATATCCAGGGCCTCGGACATCACGGTGGGCCGTGATATCGGGCGGAGAGTATGCCGCCTATATTTTTACTTCGGAACCCTGGAGAAATTAACTCAAGGACTAGACACGGGTCCGTCGTGGGTCGTGAGCGGTACGGGCAGTGGTAGGTCCCAATGACTCCGCGGAGAGTATGAATCTGGCAATTTTTGGGACTGCTACACCCAGGTACCTTGTGCGCCGTAAGCTGAGAATTGATGGCGATAAGCATCTCCGCGGCAGGACATCGAGGGGGAACATCGAGGGAAGAACATACCACCTGTCTCAAAGGCTCGGGTGTGAAGAAGTACGCGCAATTCACCTCATGGTTTGGCTAATTCTATGAGATATGCAGCTATATCCACTGGGCATCAAGGCAACCTTGTCACTTGGGGATGAGTGACGGAATTCCGCTTGCATAAATCAGCATCGCCAATTTCCTGGACGTCCAGTGCGTAGTCTGAATGCAATAAATGAGGCAGCGCCAACAATGCGATGGCACCACATACTTATTTGCTTAGGGCCTGTGCATATTGGGACGGGCGAAATTCGTGCAGCGACCGGAGGCTCCGTTCCAGGGATGGGGTTCCCTCGGTCTCTAAAATATACGGGCGGACGGTAAGGATGCGAGCGCCAAAAAACTAGTTACCGCAAAGTATCCCAAGTATAGAGCAAGAAGGCTCTTATCTCCGTGGCCGCCGCACGTCGCACATAAGCACCCGACGGGTCACGGGTGCTTGGATGAAAATGTCCTGAAAATGTTCAGATTGTTTTCTGGAGGGGGAGGAACTGGTGGATTCGCCACTAAGAGAATCTGGGCGAAAGATGAATACAAACGTGTACCGCTGAAGGTGCGGTCTATTCCTGCTTACCGTGAGGAAAAATAGAGGGAGCACATGGGTGTCGAGCGCCGAGGTAAGCAGACGATGACATTGCCTGTCGCGGCGAATGTCAGCTGCGTGTTCAACGAGGCCCTCAGCTTGCGTCGCAGCCGATTAGATCTGTCTGTTAATTAAACCATTCAGCGGGATGTGTCGCAGCGGTGGGCGAATGGCAGCGGCGTGCTCGGGGAGGCGTACCGTGTGCGAAGCAGTCAATTGAATCAACATCTTACTAAGCTGTCCAGCGTACTGGGTCCCCATTGCAGTCGCCTTGGGTGACGCTGCCGCCGAAAGTAACAGTAGATGAAGTCAGGAAAATCGAGTGAACACGAATTTCGCATTATCCTATACAAGCAAGTCCGCCAAATTAAGTTGGTGCTGGCGTGTTTATACCCACGTGCTCAAGTTTCAACCATTGGAGTCAGTCTCCCCCGACCTTCTCACGATCGTTGTATTTCCTCTAATTTATGGCGTCAGAAAATCTTGAATCCGAGTAGGCTTGAGCCCGCAATCACGCGTACAGTACAGAGCTCCGTTGAGAACGGAAACTTTGTCTGTGCATTGGAGCCGCGGTGTGGATTGACACAATTAAAGAGGCCGCCGCTCTCGGGGATCTTCAGATCTAGCTTGCCCCATCAGGGGCACTGCCATTTTCGTTTCGTGAGCACCACTCTCATCGGTTTCCCTTTCGGCGCAACTGTTCGATATTCGGTTTCTCCCTTACATCCAGGATCTTCACAGAGTGTCCGAACTACCTTATCTATTAGATTAATCCGAGAGGGTGAGAAATATTGCCGCCACATTTCAGACAGCAGTTGCGACAGGCAATCATGTATCCTTCCGTTAGTTCGAACGAAGATTTTGAACGCACCCTGACAAACGGTGGATGAGATCCCAGATACCGATGCGCAACGGTCGTATTAGGTTTAAATATCAAACTATGTAACAGCCCATCCATGATAAAAGGCGACCGCCTATCTCAGGTCTAAGGCAGGTTACCATCCATTTGCCTTCATATCCTACACTCACTCAGTACTCGACTCACTGACGTCGTCGCTGTACGGTCCCGCACCAATGCCCGCTACCTTCGATACCGCCCCCAATGTCCTGAACAGCTCCAGTGCTGTAACCAGGCACCAGGTCACGGAGATTCAGTACACGAACTGCGGCCGTGAAGGTCCCCAGTGCTGTCACTGCGGCTGGCGGGGTGGATCCCACAAGTATGTCCTCCCGTCCTCAGGCTCTCGATCGCCACCTCATATTAAAATATCCATTTTTAGCCCAAAATGCCCCTTCAGTATGTCTCGCGACGTCCCGAATTTTTCGTCCTGACTTTGATGCAGAGTGATGTCACGTCCCTTTATCTTGGCCACCAAACTCTATCGATTTCTCCGTGTGTGTCACGAAGCTCCTTACTCAGTCTCGTTCTAAATGGCGCCTTTCAGGTCATGCAATTATTCTGATCCTTTCGCTGATACTTTCTTTGAATTATCTAATTTGGCTATCCTCCTTGCTTTGATCCCTCATGTGCTCTGTCTCCAACCGTGGCCCCCTCTTCCAGGCTTACAGTATCCTTAACTTCTTTCCGTCGTCATATCTGTTTGTACCTACGCTTGATCTTTCCGGACAGGTATTAGGCTTTTTGAACCAGGCTTCTATTCAAATTTAATGAACTGCAGGAGCAAATGGAATGTCGTTCGGGACTCCAAAATAAAAACCTGGCATCTTCAAGGAGTTCGTACCTCCGCGTCCGATCGTTTAGTCAGACCACTGTTCGATGAATCGATAGAAATCAGATTTACATAATGGGATACGTGGGAAATGGGCTGTATTGGGCGGGGAAGCGATAGATACTACTGAGCCGTCGATGGCCACAGCGTTGGAAAGAATTTTGCATCCTGGAAATAACGCTACTTGGTGGTGGTGGAAAGATGGATCTGAACAACGTAAATATGAGACAGTCAGGAAATCAAAATTTGGGATGGGGGTACTAGAACTGGCCTGTCCCGCGACTCGAAGCGTACTCAGAGATTTTAATCGACTTGATTGAGCTGCGTTGAGGGCGGAGACCTAGTGTGAATCCTAATCCGCTCAAGGGTAACGACGTTCGTGAGGCCTAAGAACAGGTGCGCGCCGACGGCCGCGCAGGCTATACCCCTGAAGCTGTCGGCGTACGCCGCAATCAACGCGTGCGTGGGTCTTGCGGGCGGGGGAAGAAGATGGCGGTTGATAAGAGCTTAGAGATGAAGCACCTGGGGTGCGGGTCGAATGGAGATGACGAACCGAGGAGGGGCAGAAAGAGAGTTCAGGCGCTCAGGAAAACACGTGGGTCCCCACCTGGGGGAGGACGACGTGGATACACACCGGGTGCCGGGAATGCGCTTTGCGCAGCCGGGGCGGCAGATTCTGAAAGACACGAGGATCAGGCTCACAATCCGCAGTTACACAGGCCGACGAAGCCCTGCTGAAAGATGTATCCCGCATTCGACGGAGCTGTATGATTTCAATGAGGGATGCCCGGATGACGAAGGTTCATATAAACTGAAAGAGATGTAGAGCTGACGATACAATCTGGAGAGGCACGAAGGGAGAATTGGGAGAGAGCGAGGGACAGGATGCAGGCAAAGTCGACATGATGGGCTGATAGAGACGCGGGAGGCAAGCGGCATGATTGTCAGTGCATCTTAATGGTTGTAGTACACCCGCGGCGTCGCTGGCCTTCGAGAATTTCTACGCGCCCAGTAGACATATTGGTCGCGGCCATAACAAAAAGGACAGCCAGCTTTCGAACGGCTCTGAAATGCACGAACCTGGGAACAGTATCTCTTGCAGAGGGAGTAAAACGACACAGTTGGGAGGCCTTTATGCGTTTATATAGAAGCTAGAATCGGCATAACTCAAGGTGCGACATGAAGCGTTCAAGTGAGAAATTGCCAGCCTGGAGGGGCGCCAATGTGACGGGAAGCCGGACGGCGAGGCGGGAGGCGTGGGCTGGGATCCTGGAAGCGTGTCATTTCCTTTGAGGTGAGTGGTCGACCGTGGGCCGTGCGCAGATTCCGGAAGTGAGTGCGATTGTCTTGCGAGTGTTTGGGGAGTCACTTGTTTCCTCGACTTCGCTGCCAGCCCAGCAATCGATACCGCGGGACCGTTACGTTCGGAAATTCTGCTGAACCGACGTAATTCAACGGGGCCTTCATTAAATGCGAGGGCCGTGAGGGACAGTGGAGGGGACTCAGAGGTGAAGGGGAAGGGCGAAAATAATTCGGATCAATTGGCGGCACTGCCACACAGGTGCCGGATTGTTCCGTCGCGGTCTAGGCTCACCAACATTTCAATTTCAACACCAGAATGGATCGTGCTCCGGCCTGAAGCAGTAGGACAAAATTCGCAGGGGATGCGTATTAGGAGTGCTCGGATGCTATAGAAAAACTTACGACGAACCCGTCAATGTCTTCGGGTGGATTCGATCTACCAGCTCTCCCAACATTCCTTGTCGAGTACATTGCAATGGAATGGGAGCGAGGTTCAATACCCCACGAAGACCTCCCTCCCTCTCTCCTCACTTAGATAATTTATACCTGAAAACAAAGCAGCTGCCACACGAAAAAAGTAGCACTCCTTCGCGCATGTCTTTGGGTGGATTCGAACCACCGACTCTCCCAACATTCCTTGTTGAGTACACTGCAATGGAATGGGAGTAAGATCCATACCCCACGAAGACCTCCCTCCCTCCCTTCCTCCCCGCCCAAATTTGGTTGTAAATACACAGCGGCTGCACGGATGCAAAAAGCTAACATCTCTCCCGACACTTAGTGTCTTCGGGTGGATTCAAACCACCAGCTCTCCCAGACCATCTGGCAGATGACTTGAAAATAGGACGGGAGCGAGTTCAATACTCCACGAAGACCTCCCTGTATTCCTATCCGCCTGAATATCCATGTAAATACATAGCGGCCGCCGGGATGCAAGAAGACTCAGCGCGCAAAGTGGCTTCGGGTGGGGTCGAACCACCAACTCTCCCAAGGCTCCTGTATGATACCCTCTTCATGAGATGGGAGCGAGTTCAATACTCCATCGAGAATCCCCTGTATTCCTACCCGCCTAAATATCCCTGCCATACAAAGCGGCCGTCGGGATGTAAAAAGCTAACATCTCTCCCGATACTTACTTATTGTCTTCGAGTGGATTCGAACCACCAACTCTCCCAAGTTCAGAATAGCGACAGCTCGATAACATGGGATGGAAGCGAGTTCATTAATCCACGAAAAGATTACTCCCTCTCTCACCTCGGCCTTGAATATGCCGGTCAAAGTGCCATTGTCGACGAAAAACGCGACCCTGATCCGATGTCTTCGGGTGGATTCGGACCACCGACTCTCCTAAAGTTCAGAATATGAATGCTTCGTATAGGATGGGAGCGGGCTCAACACTCCTCGACGACTTCCCTGTATCCCTTCCCCCCTGAATATCCCGGTAAATATATAGGGGCTGTGGGGAGGGAAAAAAAAGCCATACAAATTTCTCTCAGTGTCTTCGGGTGGGGTCGAACCACCAATTCTCCCACATTCCCGTTTATGACTGCCGTGAATGGAATGGGAGTGAGCTCAGTACTCCACGAAGACTTCCCTGTATTCCTACCCGTGGGTAGCTACACAGCGGCTGCAGGGGCTCAGCCCTGTAATGTCTTAGGGTGGATTCGAACCACCAGCTCTCCCGAAATTCTCGCGTGCTCCACACGGAATGGAAGCGATTTCAATAGTCCACGAGGACTTTCCTATCGGCCTACCACGCCGAGTGAGGTTACTCTTACTTGGACCGAATACATGGCTCCAGGGATACAAAAAGTGAATCAGCCTTGGTAGTGTCCTCGGACGGGCTCGAACCGCCGACTCTCCCCAGACTCGGTGGACTTGATCCATTAAGAGGGAGCGAGTTCCGTACTCCACGAAGACCTTCCTTACTCTCTTCGTTCCCTGCATACACACAAAATTACTTCATCTAGAGGGCCACGATTCCATTTCTCGGACTGGGAGGTCACTCACCACGCCGCGAATCCGAGTCGGAGCTGCTGGAGGTGGGTTCAGATTTGATAGAGGCGACGCGCATTTCTGCCCTCTATGAATTTAACATTCAATACTGATATACGAGGACAAGGACCTACGTAGGAGCTGAAGCCATCTAACGGGACCTGCAGTCTTTCCATGGCCGCTCAATAGGAGCACAATGCAGCGGAATAGTGCGACTCAGCGGACCTGACTAGTACCCCCTTCTCCTCAGCTATTGGTTTTTTTCGAGAATTATTTCAGAATACCTTCGGTGGGGAGTTGGATCGGGCGGCGCTCATCACATGACTGGTGGTACGTTTATCTTATCAAATTATCGAGTTATATGTTTTCAACGCAGGGATTAGAGCTTCGGCAGCGGGGAGATGGCTCCAATGGTCAGCGGCTCCAGCGGCCGAGGCGACTCGTGGTTTCATCACTCCTCCTCATCGGGTTGGATCGGCGTCTCCTTGTGAGCTCAGTATTCCCCCTGGAAATTATTTATAGCTCGAATCATTCCGCTACTGGCCAGACTTCGAGGACACCGACGTGAAAACAGCACCCAAAATTCCGAGCTAAACCGAAGCGAACCACAGTTGACGCGTGTTTGTCCCAAGCACCGCCACACCTCTCCGTCCTCGACGTCATACCGCGACTGTCTGCCCCTCAAAACGCGCTCCTCCCACATCTTTCCTTCAAATCCCCGGCCCCACGATCGATCCCGCTGCCCTGCCGCAAACATCTGCAGACGAGTGGGCGCAGAACACGAACAGCGTCCTGGAGACGCACGAAACCGCCAAGCGGCGACGGCCAAGTCGTACCTGCCCGCGCAGGACGATGTCCAGCACGTGATGACGAACGCGGGGCAGGCGGCGAAGGCGTACCTGCCGCAGGGCGTTGCGGCGTATCCCCCTTCATTATTACTCTTCTTATTCCTAACTCTCATACCCGTGGTTAGCTTCATCTGAACCAAGCTCGGACCTCACGCCCACGCGCCCGCCATTCGCCACCCCCGACCGCGCCTCCACGAACCTCAACACAGAAGCCCAAGCCGGCTCCGTCGGCCCCCCGCACCTCGACTCCTCCTCCCCCTCCGCCCCGAACGCCGACCTCGGCAACCTGAGTACGCTTGTGCACACCGGCGGCCCTGCCTCTCTGCACCCCGTCACCCCCGCTCGGCTCGCGCTTCGCGGAGAACCTTGTCACGCTGCCGAGTCTCGCGTCTCCTCCAAATTTATCGGATGCTGCGCCGCCGAGCTCGACGACGACGGACACGTAACGCGCGGGCCGGACGTGGCCGCGCCCTCTCCATACGGCGTCCTCGCGCCCGTGCCACCCTCCCTCAATTCCTCAGCGCCGCCGGATAACCTGCGTTCCGAATCCCATTCTGCGCCGGCAGAGCCGCCCGCGCACGCGGTGGATGTGGACGCAAAGGAGGGGAGCCCGTAAAGGAAGCCGAAGCTCGTACAGCGCCTCAAGGAGAAGATGCACGTTGGGCATGCACATTCGTAGTTCTAGTTTGGCCTTTGAATGCGATGTTAATTTATGATGTACGATACTATACCTGGCAAGATTAAAATTCGGGTCAAGATGCCGGGCTACTACGGGGCCTTTTTAATCGAGTCCGCAATACTACATACACCCATTCTGGGGAACTTGGATGTGGGAATTTGAGTAACCCTGTAGTTCGATTAATGGCTGTTGTTCAGTCTTTCAGACCACCGTTAAGTAAGTTGAACCTCCCATCTTCGCAAATTACTATTTAAGTGACCTGTGGTCCTACCGGGTTGGGGGGCTGTGCGCCTCCCTTGTCCTCCATAGAGAAACGGCGTGCAGATGCAGAAATGTGCACCGAATCCACCTCGAAACCGATTGCGGATGCGCCCCGCGGCAGCGCCAGCGGGGATTCGAATCACCGTGTGGAGGACCGTGTCGAGTTCCGTGCCCGCGGGCCGCGAACGCGCCTCCGCCAGCCGCGGGGCGCAAACGCAGTGGTGCGCGGTGCGCTGCGTCGAACATGCGCCGCGGAGCCCAAATCCGTCGGTGTTGTGCTCCTAGTTAATGCCGGGGCGGGCGCGCCACGGTGCACTGCTCCTATTTTTTGCCCTCAAGTCGCGCGCGTCTGTTTGTGCGTCTGCGTGGCCCGTCCGCGCACAGTCCAAATCTCGGTGTTACTCCGCATCGAGGAAGACGGTCCGGGAAGCTCGTAGCGCGATCAAAGTGTGAGCGCCAGCGTGGGATTGCAGTGCCCTAGTGGGAGGTTTATCGGTAAGGGGACGAGAGCTTGGGATTGAGCTGGGGCTTGGGATGTAAATATAACTGATAGAATTGAATTGAAACGACTCGCATCACCGAAGGGCGGAACGAGAATGAGGGCGTTTGAAGTTGACCCCAGGGGTACGGAGAAAAATTGACAGCTTAGGCCCGAAAACACTGTGCACACTGTCTCTTTTTCATTCGTGCGGATGCTGCGCAATTGAGTGAAATAGTGAATAGTGGGAGGGTTGGTGGTTCGAATCCACCCGAAGACACTGAGACAGAGATTTGGGATACTAATATTCAGCCGGGCAGGATGACAGGGACGTCTTCGTGGAGTATTGAATCTCGCTCCTGTCCCCTGTGGTGGCAATAGTGAATCCTGGGAGAGCCGGTGGTTCGAATCCACCCGAAGACATGTATTGATGCGCTGGTTTTTAGTGATCTCACGGCACTTTGAGCGGGATCTTCGGGTCTGCAGGAATACAGGGAAGTCTTCGTGGAGTATTAAACTCACTCCCGTGCCATGTGAAAGTGCTCATGTTAAATCCTGGAAGAGTTGGTGGTTCGAATCCACTCGAAGACACTATTTCGTGGGATCGATCTTTTTCATCCGTGCAGCCGCCGTGGTTTTCAGACATATTCACGCGGGCAGGAAGGAAGGAAAGTTTTCGTGGAGTATTGAGCTCACTCCCGTTCCATTTGGAAATACTCTTGACGTGTTGAATTGGAGATTTGGTGGTTCGACCCCCTTGAAGACATGGGCAGATGTAGGCCATGTTTTTTCCCCCTCGCATGGCACTTTGCCGCGCATATTCAGATGGCCAAGAAGGCAGGGAAGTCTTCGTGGGGTATTGAACTCGCTCGCGTCCCATTTGTGAGTATTTTGAGATATGGCATCTTGGGAGAGTTGATGGTTCGACTCCACCCGAAGACCCTGTCGCTATACTGATATTTTGGATTCCTGCTGCCACGGTGTATTGTAGGGATGTGACCCATCTATTCAAGCCCAAAGTAAGCTAGCAATGTCCTCGTGGAGTATTGAGCTCACTCCCGTCCCATTTCGGATCTTTAGTGAGCTCCAGCGATATTGAAGCTGGTGGGTCGAATCCACCGAAAAGCTTTACAGTTTTTGCATCCATGCAGCCGCTCTGTATCACTATTACCTACAGGATACCGAGGTGGGCATGAAGGGAGGGAGGTGTGTTTCCGCGGTGCGCGCCGAGATCGCGCCGCGCACTGGAAGATTGGCTGCATCGCGTAACTCCACGACATTAATTCGGCGGGTCGCGCCACCCTATTCCTGCGGCGCCTTTGAATTCTGATCGCCGCTCGCATTAGACTCAATCCACAATCCCTCCATCCATCCGCCAGCCACCCAACTGTCCAACAGCCGGCAGCTAAATATGTACCAATCCATATC